TTCCTCCTCCCAAGTAGTAGTGCCGAAGTCATATCTCATATACTCAGTTTTAGTTGTACTGAGTCTAAAACCTTTGAACTCCAAAGTCTCTCGCCATAACTCCAGTTTCTGATACACTCCTGTCTGGCTTTTATCAACTAGCACTACATCGTCCGCGAAAAGCAAATAGGAAAAAATGCAGCTCGGAAGAATTGAACTAGCGACCTCTTGGTTGTACAGCCAGCGGCTTTCCACTGGACTATAAAGGTGCACTCAGTATACTTTCTTGATGAACCCGGTCGTCAAAGCTTCACAATCTCCTCGCCGATCGCCCTGCTTTTCTCCTTGTCAATGCGACACAGGCGCTGCTTTACCGGCTTGGAGCCTGGCCTGATTTTCAAGGCGTGCTCAGCGACTTCTCTCGGAATGCCCGGTATGTCCGAGGGTCTTCACGCAAAGATGTCTTTGTTGGCGCAGAGGAAGTCGACAAGCGCGCTTTCCTATTCGGAGGAAAGTGTGGTGCCAATGCGCACCACTTTGCCCTTGGAGCCGTTGGGGGTCTATGAGGACTTCCTTGGCGCCCTCTACAGGCTTAAAAGGCCCGGCTGACCGCTTGGGGTCAGGTGCTTCTTCGGCGACCTCTTTTCTGATAGCCGCGAGCTCTTTGGAGGCAACAATTGCCGTGGCGTGTTCACAACACTTGACCACGCACTCGTAGGCGCGCTGGAAGGAGGTGCCGATGGTGATGACCCCCCATGGACCCAGCATCTTCAGTTTTAGATAGGTGTAGTTGGGGACGGCCATGAACTTCGCGTAGCATGGACGTCCCAGGATGGCGTGGTAGGTTCCATGGAACCCGACTACCTCGAAGGTAAGGGTTTCCGTCCTATAATTGGACGGATCCCCGAAGGCGACGGGCAGATCGATCTGTCCGAGTGGCACGGCCTGCTTTCCAGGCACGATGCCGTGGAAAGGCGCCCCGGTCGGCCGGCGCGCGCTCGGTTGATGCCCATGGCGCCGAGCGTTTCAGCGTACATGATGTTGAGGCCGCTGTCTCCATCCATCAAAACCTTGGTGAGCTGCTTCGTGCCGATGATCAGGTCGACCACGAGCGGATACCGTCCCGGCTGCGGGACGCTTTCCGGGTGGTCGGTCCGATCAAAGGTTATGGTAGACTCCGACCATCGGAGGAAGGAAGGCACGGCTTGCTCGGTCGTATAGACCTCACACGCGCAAGCTTCTGGCGGCGCTTGGAGTCGTGGGCCGCCGACGATCCGAAGATCATGAGGCAGCCATCCATCGTCGGGAAGCCACCGTCCTTCCCCTCGGCGTCGTCTGCGGCCGGCTTGGGGTCCCCCCTATGCTCCCCCTTGTTGGAGCCTTCGAACAAGAACTGCTTCATGAGGTCGCAGTCCTTGTATAGATGCTTGACGGCGAAGGCATGGTTCGGGCATGGCCATTCGAGTAGCTTCCGACCCCCCTTGCGGTCGGTGGCGGCCACGAGCAAGCCCTCGCGTCGCTGCTTGTTCTTCTTGCTGGGACAGTTGGAGGCGCCTTCGCCGGCGTCCTCGACCCGCTTTGCCTTGCCCTTGAGGCAGTCGAAGATCGCTCCGACCGTCTCCTCCCTCGAGGCATGGCTGGTGGCGATGTCGAGGAGCTCCTTGGTGGTTCGCGGGCCCTTACGCCCCAGCTTATGGATCAGGGACTCGCAGGTGGTCCCAGACTGGAAAGCTCCTATGATGTTGGCGTCGGCGACGTTGGGAGGCTCGTTGCTCTGCCGAGAGAAGCGCCGGATGTACCCACGAAGGGTTTCCCCGGACTTCTGTCGACAGTTTTTGAGATCCCAGGGGTTCCTAGGACGTCTGTATGTGCCCTGGAAGTTCTCCACTAAGATCTCTTTTAGGTCCACGCAACTTTGGATTCGGTTGGACGGAAGGTGTTCCAACCACGTTCATGTCGAATCGGCTAGGAACAATGGAAGGTTGCGGATAATAAAATCATCATTATCCGCTCCACCAGCTTGGCAAGCAAGCCGATAATCCTCGAGCCACAGTCCGGGGTTCGTTTCCCCGGAGTATTTCGGGATGTTGGTCGGCGGTCGGTACCACGGTGGAAAGACGACGTTGAGGATGTGTCGGCCGAAGGCCTGAGGTCACGGCAAGTCGGGGCTCAGGCTTCGGTCCTTGCCGTTGTCGTAGCGTCCGCCATGACGTGGGTGGTAACCGCGGCTAGCCCCCTCCCTCGCATCACTATGGGTATGCCTGCGGGCGTCGAGGGTGTCGCGTGCGTCACGGTGAAGGCCGAGACACTCATGGACCGGGACCGCGGTGCGCGGCCTGCCGCCTGCTGCACCTGGTGGATTGACACGTCCTTGTCGGGTCGCTCTGAGGGCGTGCGCTGGCTGGCGTCGATCTCGCGTCATCGGGACATCGAGCTTTCGGCCTGCTGCGCCGCCGCACGCTAGAGTAGCGTGCAAATCTCGCGATGGGCCCGATGGTTGTCGGGCATCGCGGGCCCCAGAAACCCCCGGAGCAAGGCCACCGTAGCAGCGATGTTGTGGCTCGCCCAGGTGAAGTGGGAGGGCTTCATCGTCCTCGATGATCCTCCGGTTCACGTCGCGGGCCATGGCGCGCGCTCGCCCACCGTCTCCGTGGCGCTCGATTTCTCGCTCGAGCTCTGCGCGGACCTGCTCGAGCTGGAGTTGTGCTTCCTCGAGCTCTTGGTGCCGGGCCTTTAGCTGCTCTACCCGCAGGCGAGGCGGGGGTACCTGCCATGAAACATTCACGAGAGGGGTGATGGCTCCCCGTGCTGGAGTCAGAGCTGGAGGGCGACTCCGATTCTCCTGTTAGGAGGTCGTGGAAAGATTCCGCGACATATTCGGTCATCCCCACGAACTCGTCGTTCGCGGGGGATGGAGGCGTGCGTTGCACCACAGGGTGGCCAATGGTCTCTGCGGCGTTGCGGAGACCGGACGGGAGCGCTGTCGAGGCACTCCGGATGAGGTATTCCGAGGAGAGCGGCTCTCCTCCGGCAAGCTGCATCATGACGTTGGCGAACAAGAAGGTGAGGTGGCCAGGTCCTCCCGGGACGGTCGGGATCTCAGGAAGGCGCCGAGCATGCGCTCTAACCTCCCTTAGTCGAAGCCGAGGAGCTGATCGCTCCTGGGGGCGTGGGCCTCTGGTGCGTGCAACTGCAGCTCCTCAAGCGCCTCGGCGATCGCGTCGAGGCCGGCGGAGTGGAGAGGTTGGACGGCGGCGGGAGCCTGCACCAACTCTCCCTCCGTCGTGATGATGAAGTCCAGATTCCCGAAGAGCATGCGCGCGTCTGGGACCCAGCTGACGTCGTGACTGGCCATCCGAGGCCTGGTGTGGACGTCGAGACAAGCAAAAGGCCCCTACCTGGCGCGCTAACTGTCGGTGTTTCGAGTTACCACTGACGAGTAAATTTGTATTTGCGCGTCTGGCTCGGATGGTGTGCTAAGAGGACATGAGGTTTATAGTAGTTCGGACAGAAAGTCCCTACATCCAGTTCGTCGCTGCTGCTCGTGTTACTAGCACTGAAAGTTTGTAGTAGGGGTTACAAACGGGCGAGAGAGAGACATGTCCCAAGTCTCTGATAGAGGGAATGAACGGGTGCTGAGAGCTCGGTTGCTGCTCAGCCGTGTGTTCGTGTTGTGCTTATCTCGTGGTTCGGTCTCGATGGGTCGATTGATCTGGCTTTGAAAATCCCTCCTTCATGGGACGGCCTGCTTTCCCTTTTATAGGCTAAGGGAAAGCACGGGTTACAGCGGAGGAAAAGAGAACAACGAGAGAGAAGGCCTTTAGGATCGCCGGGTTCTTCTACTCCATGCAGGTCTCGCCGATTCTGTAGATATCAACAGGGACAACTCCACGTCGCGGCCCTGTCCATCACTGGCGCCATGCGCAGGCGTAGTCTGCTGGTCATGGCGTTCTATTCCGTCTCGGCGGACGTCGTGATGAACCGACGCGCCTGTCAGCGTTCGTACGATGGTTAGGCAGAACAGCATCGGCACGCCCGACGCTGTTCTCGACGTGAACCCTCATGTATGGCCTGTCATGGCGACGGGTTATATCGGGGCGTGCCGGTCTCTTCCTTGGTGTCAGAGTTTTGACCAAAGCTCATACGCCTAGACCCGTAGTGGTTGGCGGCGGTATGGGACCCCATCGGGCGAGCCGGAGCGCAAACCCAAGGGTCGGGCGAGGCGGAGCCCGCGGCCTCGGGGTCAGGCTAGACGGAGCCCGCGACTTTGGGGTCGGTCGAGGCGGATCCCGCGGCCTCGGGGTCGGACGAGGCGGAGCCCTCCCCCAGAGGTCGGGCGAGGCGGAGCCCTCCCTCAGAGGTCGAGCGAGGCGGAGCCCGCAGCCTTGGGGTCGGGCAATACGGAGCCCGCGGCCTTGAGGTCGGGCGAGACGGAGCCCGCGACCTCGGGGTCGGTTGGAGTTGTAGCCGCACTCTTGACTGCTCGGATGAATCATTGTTTATTACCATTAGCTCCTCTTCGGGTACCATAGTATTGGTCTCCGACACTTTGGAACGGAGGGAGTATCTTATAAGTTATATATGTAGGAGGTAATAAGTGAAGCTTACTATTCGAGGGAACAATGACTTGTGAATAAATACAGATAATAATATTAATAATAACAGAAAACTTGAACAGCTAATTGAATCTGTCATGAAAACTAGGACCTTTGCTGAAGATGACTTCCTGAATATTTCATGTTTTGCATGCATATTACCATCCTAAAACACCACTAGTCAATGTGACCTGTCAACCTGCTATCACAGTTACGTTACTGCATATGTTCTGATGAAGTGATCTTTCTAAATTGAAGGGCAGGTTCAGTGAAACTCTGCCCCTTTAGGGGTAATTGGTTTACTTTAACTTTTCACGGTAGACTCTCATTGAACCTCTGTGGATACATATTCCTTAATTTATGGTGAACATGCCTTTTGGCAGTTATTGTTCCTGTAGATTCATAACCTTAACATTTGCATGTCAGGTTTATCATTTGGAAGGTGGGATATTGAAGTATCTGGAGGAAATCCCAAAGGCTGAAAGTTTGTGGGAGGGTGAATGCTTTGTGTTTGACAAGCGTGTCTCGGTGGAGCATGGATTGGCCCAAGGCACCCACAAACTTTGCTATGGGTGTAAGCAGCCAGTTAGCGATGAAGACATGGAATCACCTGAATGGGAGTATGGTGTCTCTTGCCCGTATTGCTTCGCAACGAAATCCGAGGAGGAGAAGGAAAGGGCTAGGGCTCGGCAGCGTCAATTCAAGACCTGGGGAGTGATTGGTGGTCCTGATAAGGGCAGGAGTACAGAAAGGCCTGATGCTAACAATGCAGTGGAGTCCATACAGTTGCCCAAGTCAGTCTAACTTAAATTGTGTATCTGAAACTTTTAGATGATTGAAGTGTTGTTGACAAAGTGAGGGAACCCGCCAGATTGTTAGTGCTTTTGTATTGGTTTGCTGCCTAGAGACATTGCCATATTTGGAAACAGTTCTGTCAGTACCATTTTGTTTTAGATTGTAACATTGCTAACCCCTGAGCTGATAAAGAATGTTCGATGTAGCGTGGAACAAATATAAGTTATTATTTAACAAAAAAAATACGTTCACGTTTTCTTTGGTGAAACTACCTGAATACCAGCTGTATGAAATGAAGCTGTTTGCTTCGATCAGGTAGGTCCCAGTTGCGAGGTGCAGGGGCCTAGAAAGAGTACAGTTTTTTTTTACAACAATTACTTTTAATATATAACGTTAAAGCACAGTACATCCTTGTGGAAAAAGAATTCCGAGATTGCATAGTACAGTTAAAGAAAAGCTGTTGCTGATCTGTTTCTTTTTCTTACGTAGACATAGATGATATTTCCGTCAGGGACGTGGGGCCACATGGCCTACGAGAAGTGGCTACACTAGAAACATTGAGGATCCTCGTTCTCGCACTTCGATAGCACAACCAGCGCTCTCCTCAAGTGTCTAATCGGCCTGTGTCTTCGAGGATAAGTAGTCTTGAGCTGTAGATAGGATGGAGGCTTCATCGGGTTTAAGAGAATGGATCCACAGCCACTGATACCAAATCTGAGGACCTGCTTAACTAACGGTGACGGTCAACCAAACACCAGTAGCTGCTTTACCACTCCGATGTCTGCAGAAAGACTGAACAACAGATGACAAGAGAACGTAAAATTACTCTGCATGCATAACACATAATAAAATAGACAGAGAATCCGGGCGCCTCTGTCTGAAAAGGAACGTGGCGCCGTGTGGGGGCCGAGGAGGACACGCAGCGGTCCTGCATGAGTTCCGCGTTGCCGTGGCAGGCCCCATAGCGCAGAAGGCGGGGCCCACCACGGAGCACAGGAGCACGGACACGTGGTGACAGTTTCGTGAGATGCTCGCTGCTCGGGGAGCCGGAAAGTGCTCAGCTTCGTGCTTGTCCAGATGAGTCTCGAAGCCGTGAGATGTTGCCCACTCCCATCAGAAACCAGGGCTTATAAACTCAGAACTGAGCTCTGAATGTTGTCATTTCGCTCTTGTGACTTGTCCCTCTTGTGCGCTAACTCTGTTACAAGCTTGCAACCCACAAAGTATCGCATCTGTTTCAGAAATGCGGGCCGTTTCGTCTGTTAGTTGATCTCCACCAGTCTATTGGGCCTTCGAATCTGCGTCCTGATCGGGGGCGCCAACCCTAATATGGTTGGTGGGCCCCTATCGCACAGCACTATAAAGAGAGGTGAGGATCAGAGCTCTAACTACGAGGTTGACCGGAGCCGCTTGACCCACCAACAGCTAAACCTAACCAGATCTAAAGAGAGTGCTGCCAGCGACGGGAAGACCCACTGACTTCGCCGTCACCACCGGACCGCGTCACCGTCGCCTCTGCATCGCCACCACTAAGCTGGATTCCACCGCGCCGAGCTCCCACGACACTGGCGTCCACGCGGCTGTGACGCAACTGAGCCAGGGCGAAGTAGAGGAACCAATTTCTACATCTAAGTAAGATGTTTACCTCCTGATCTACGTTTCAGAGGTACATTGTTTTTCCTAACAATGGTACCAGAGCCGGGTTAATAGTGTGTAGATCTAGTATGGGGTAGAGAATTGAAAAGAAATCGAAGAGGAACAAAGGGTTTGATTCGTTTCGGATTGAAACCTTAACCCTAACCGGGTAAAAGAAAATAGAAAAGAGATTGGGAGGGTGCCGGTCACCACCGCCTCCGCGCGGTGAAAGGTGCCGCACCGCCGTCTTCGCTGGCGCGCGGCAAGAAAAGATCAGAGGGTTCAACCGAACCCAAACCGAAAGAAAAAAATGAATCGGGTTAATCCTAACCCTAGCGAAACCCTAACCCTAACTGGGTGAAGGAAAGAAGTAAGAAGAGGGACTTGGCTTCAAGAAGAACCCGAATCCGAGCTCAAACCCACGAAGAACTCCATGGGGAAGATGAACAGTGACTCCAGTAAGTCAAACCCTAACCCTAACTTGACGTAACCCTATCCCTAATCCCCAATCGGATGAAATCCGAGAAGAACAGAGAAGAAGATCCAAAAATAGATGAAGAAAAGGAGGAAAGGATCTAACAATGCCTAGAGGAGCGTGAATAGGCGTATCTAAAAATTTACTGCAAATGCTAAGTTCAATTCTGTCAGTCACAGTCGTAAGTCCCGACGTTTGGGTCGGAACTTCCGATGTTGTCAGAAGTTCCGGCGCAAACGTCAGCAGTTCCGACGCCTACGTGAACTACAAAAGCAGTGCCAAATTTAACTTTGCGGATAAATAAACTTACAATCTCACTTCCTAGTGGTTTGGTGAAGATGTTAGGTCACTCCTTGACGCCGTAATGCCTCCAAACCGTAGATCGAGTCCAAACCCTAAAATGCAAGTTTGGGAGGGAAAGAGACAAACATATACAAATAATCTCTAGCAATCACAACAACAAGCACACAGGACACAAGGATTTATCCCGAGGTTCGGCAACCCCACTAAGGAGCTCCTACGTCCTCGTTGTTGAGGTGACCACCAAGGTCGGAGTCTTTTCCACCTCCTTGCCTCTCTCAAAGCGACCACAAAGGTCACTTGAGCTTTCCACTAAGAAATCGAAGGGTAATACAAACTTCCCAAGGATCTTCCACAAGATGGAAGCTCTAGGGCAATGCCTAGCCAGCTAGGGGCAAAGCCCCAAGAGTAATAGACGCAAAATCACCCGGCTTGACGAAGAAATCAAGTGCTCAAGCTTTCCAACGTGATGCTCTTACTAAATCCACTCTCCTTTCACTCAAACCCTAAGGGAATCGAAGATTCGAGCAAATGGGGAAGGAGAGGGGTGCTTTGGTTGCTTGGGAGCTGTTGAGTTCGAAGCTAGTCCGCTGTGAAAAATGAGTCCCCCAGTTAGAAGTGAAGAGAGGAGTATTTATACTCCAAGTGAAAATCCAACCGTTCAGATCTACGTCGGAAGTCCCGACACAGATCCCGAGACTTTCGACATCAACATAAAATACTGTTCACAACGGGTCAGAAGTCCATGGGTGAAAGTCAGTGTCGGAACTCCCGGCAAACGTCGGGACTTCCGACGGTCGGAACTCCCGACGGACGTCGGGACTTCCGACGAGCCCAGTTAAACAAACAGCCAGCACCGTTGATGCCGGGACTCCCGGCTTGGGTCAGGTCAGTGTCGGAACTCCCGACGAGACTTCCGACTGTCGGAACTCCCGACGAACGTCGGGACTTCCGACGAGCACAGACAGCGAGCAGTCTGAAGCACAGGTGCCGGGACTCCTGGCTTAGGTCGGGACTTCCGACTGTCGGAAGTTCCGACTTACGTCGGGACTTCCGACACTGAAAGACACAGAAAATTATTCTAAGTGCGCGTGAAGTGCTAGAGTGACTCTCTTTTGATTTTATTTAAATGCTTGAGCACTCTATCTTCCTCAGACCAACTAAACTTGCATCCCTCTTTATAGTGCGGCGGATCCTAAACTCAAAAACAAAATTAAACCCTTTGGAGATAGTTTTGAGTTCGTCCGCCTTTACAACTTTAAGAATTGAGGGATACCATTTCATCTTTATCAACTCTTTGAATCTTTCATGGGACTAATAGCTGCAACATATCTCATTAAGATCACATTAGTCCCTAATTTGGATGTCATAAATACACCAAAACCCACATAGGGGGCAAATGCACTTTTAATCTCCCCCTTTTTGGTAATTGATGACAACCAACTTAGGCTTTTATAAGAATGAAAGATTTTAAAACTTTTGAACCCCAAAATTTATGGAGAGCTCCCCCTTGATGTATGCATGAATTTGAATTTCAATTGGAATCATGTATACATGATTTGCATACACCAAGACAAAAGCTCCCCCTAAATTTTGCAATCCGTGAGGTGCAACAAGTATGTGTGAACAAATAAGTATCGGTGAAAAGAGATGCAATATGACATGTTATTTCACACAACAAGTAAAAAAATTGATGGCCAAGATTTCAAAGTAGAAACTTTAAGTAACACATGGCCATACAAAAACATTCATCATGACAAGTAGAGATAAGCACAAGCAAATAAGATAGATTAAAACATAGCTTATCCTACAATCATCCATCACACACATAAATAGATAGTTGTCCATCACACGGTTGCCACCACACGACATAGTTCATACACGCGCTAAGGATTTAAAGTTCCAAAACAAAAGACCAACTAACTTATTACAATAAATCAAAGTTTAACACTCCCCTTTGTCAACAAGTGCCAAAAGGGTAGGCGCATGAGCATGAGAACCACCAACTCATCATCTTCTTCCTCTTGATATTCCTCATCGTCTTCAGATCATATAAAAGCCAACGGATCAGTCATCATCATTGCCTTGGTCACCTTCCTCACCATGTCGTGCTCACGCTCACTAGCACAACATTGTCCAAACATGTAGGTCATTAGAAACTTGAACTTGCTTGGGCTTCATCATCTTCTTCCTCTTGATATTCCTCATCGTCTTGTTGGATATCTTGCTTTCCCCTTGCCATGTGGGCGCTCTAGAAGATGAGCATCATCTTCTTCCTCTCATGATATTCCAAACTCATCGTCTTCTTCTGAAGCACCTTTTGCTTTCCCCTTGCCATGTGGACTTAATATGGCTTCGTAAATGTGGTTTGTCCATCATTTCATGACCCTCAAGATACATGTGTTGATATTGACCATCCCATTCATGGGGCTTCAAATCAGAACACACATCCAAACAAGGGAGATAGAGGAGTAGAGAGAGAAGAAGAATGGAAGCAAAACACAAGGTACATTGAAGTGAGCGGTGAGACAGCCCCAAATAATCGATTGTATATCCTTCAACCATAGGGTTAGGACACCATGGTAGTACCTTGAATCGA